AGGGGAGATCTAAAGTCCAAATGTCAGGTTTCATTAAATACAAGCAAAATCTTTAACGGATGCAGCTCTGCAGTTCCGTTGCTTTCACTTTCATGCAGTTGGGGGGAGGCAGACTTCCTTGATTTTAACCTCCCCGCTTTCAGCCAAATCTCCAAATTTTAGTTCCAAATATAAGTTCCGTTTACTCACGGGTTTTTTCTGTCCGTAATTTACAGGAAGGAATCGGCGCTCTCCACTAATAGCGACGCGGCTTCACCCTGCGGGCTGGGTAGCGATTCTCAGCACCGCGCTCCCCCGATGTCGTTCCAGAGCCTTTAAAAAGGCTCTTTCTGCGGTAAAGGGGGGGCGCTTTTGGTGCCCACCGAATCTCCTCGTTCACAGGCTTCCGCGCCTGTGATTTTAGGGGTCCCCCGCTTGCCGTAGCGGAACAGACCCGAACTCGCAGGGCAGTCCTTCTCCGGAGCTCGGAAAAAGGACCGCCATTAGCGCTGGCGCCGACCGGCCCACTTTATGCATTTTGGTGCACATTACCTGATTCAACTGCCTTGCAGAATTCATGGAAGGAGAACACTTGGAAGGACAGCTCTCTTCCAAATCAGCCATAGTTGCAGAAAGTAGATGCAGCTGAGGTACAAAACGTTTTTTGGGGAAATAGTCCAGCCCTGATGGAGATGTTCTCATGCAGTCTATGGCCAAGAGCTAGGTAATCTCCCAACACCACACCTGCTTGGGGGACCAGTTAGAAGTTCCTTTGGCCTCACCCAGCTGCAGGGCTCTTCTCAGGCTCAGTCCTGAGAATCTTATGGAAACATTTCCGCTTGGGCTTGCTCACCACCCTCTCCAACTCAACAGGTTGTCCCCAACTTCACAAACTGAGTTCTGCATCCTCTCCTCTCCCTAGGCACCACCAAAATCTGGAGGATGTTATCCCACAATGCCCAATACCTTGGAATAGATTTTGAGGATACAATGGGGTGGGGTCTGCAGGGGAGGAGACCTGGGATTACCACCCACAACTGGACATCTGTGGCCTTGGATACAACCCCATCAGTGCCACACCAAACTATTCTGTTGCCCTTCCATGCTCTTGAGCATTCTCCAGATCCATCTTTCCAAGGGAAAGGCAGCCTTAATCTTGTCTTTTCCTGGACAGTCTTTTAGTACTGCCCTGCTGTCTATTTGTGAGTGTGAGTTTGTGTGTTGTGCTGCTTTTATGGTATTTGTGTTGCTTGCTTGATGCTTCATTTTAATATTGCTGGGTTACACTGGTTTGAGCTTCTGTGCATTGTAGTGAATATATGGGGGGAACTAGTAGGTCAGGGCAATTCTTTTATATTTGAATTTGGAGATGGGGGAGAAGTATCAATGCCAGTCGTGAGCTGTTGGTGTGGGCAGTGCCTGTAACACTTACAAGGCAGTTGCTGGTCTTTTGCAATCTCCACAGAGATGGGCCCCAGGAGATGTCTTCAGCATCCTTTCCCAAGAGCCTGAAGTGCCAACCCAACACTTAAGGTGGGGAATCTGTGGTCACAGGGCTAAGTCCCGTTTCCCCACCTGGTCTTGCTTCAAGTTAACGGACAAGTGTTGCTCCATCAGATGCCCACAGGCAGCAAAGTTGGGTGAAGCAAATGCCAGATGCAGCACAGTGAACTTGGGAATTAGCCAATATCAGAAGGCGATATCGGGGGGGGGGGGGTGTTGGGAATGAGGAGCAGCAATGCCAAAGAGATCCCTTTCCATGGAAACAGATTCAGGGATGGAGCTGGAGAAAATGGGCAAATAACACATGTGAGGATTCCTTGAAAATATTATTACACTGCACCCAAATTGCTGAGCATGGAGAAAACCCAGGGGTTTCAGTGTTTGCCCAGAGTTTGGTTTCCTTGAAGGTGAGGGGAAATATAGATTTTTTTTTTGACCATATAGAGAGAGCCTGAGCATAAAATGGATGGGGTCACAGCATTAACACCCCCCAAATCATCGTTCTCAGTTCCTCACAGCTTTGGATGCCCTGCACAGCAAACAGGAATCTGTGTCTCCAGCTTCCAGGCTGCTTCCAACTCAGCTCTCACACTCCACATGGGCTCAGGACCACAATATCTAAAGGATGGCCTCTCCCCATATGAACTGACCTTGACCTAGAGATCATCATCAGAAGCCCTTCTTCACGTGCCTCCTTCGCAAGAGGTCAAGAGGGCTGCACTATGAAACGAGGTCTTTTCTGTGGTGGCTCCCTGTTTGTGGATTGCTTTTCCCTGGGAAGCACACTGTGCTCCTTTAGGTGCCAGGCAAATACATTCCTCTTCTTCCAGCCTTAGAATAATGAAAAAAAATCTCTGGTGTTTTACACTATGTGTGGGTGTTACTGTTTGCTTTCTTAATATGGTATTGTCAGAGCTGCTTCCAGATCCTAGCTCACAGAGGATCACGCTAGCCAGCGGTCACTTGTAAAAGTCTTTTATTGAGTTACAGTTTCCATTCTCAAGCTGCTGCGCGCAACTCTACGTCTTAAGGGTTAGACCGGCGAAGCTCCGTCTGAGTCTCCGCCCCCTGTACACCAACTTAATACCCTAGCCTTACTCCACCTTTTCCGCCTGACTGTTCTTCTCTGGGTCCCTCTGCCCCCCGGGGTCTCTTCCTTCCGGGATTCTTCTGACGCTGACCCCCCGGACCCTTCTGTCTCCTTGCGCCGGGCTTTAGGACCTGGCTCCCATTCCGGGCTGCTTACTGCGCCACCTTCCTGTGCATTTGAACTTGGCGCGCGCGCCCAACCTTCCACTTTCCGTCTGACCGTTTCTTCGCTCCCCGATGTAGGTGTGGCCACTCCTGACTCGTGCCCTCCCTCCTGTTGTGAGCTTCCAGCGCTCGATACCTGGTGCCCTTCCTCTCCCCTGCTCTCTGTGGGCGACGCTGGTCCCGACTTCCCACTGCTCCCCTCTGAGCCCCCTCTGGCCCTTTCTTCCTGGGGTGTCCCCCTAGGCTCCCCCCTTGCCCTGGCCACTGGTGCTCCTTTCTGTGAATCTTCTGATTCACTGGAAAGACTCGGAGATCTCGGGTCGTCGTCATCACTCATCCTTTCTTCTGCCTCCTCCCCCTCGCTCTCTGTTTCCTCCCTTGCCCTTGCCTCTGCTCCTGAACCCCTGACAGGTATGTATATTGATGTTTTTGTATTTTAAACTGCGCTGTGGTCCTCAGAAGAAGGGTTGTATAGAAATCTAATTGATGGCTTCCGGTTTCCGGTTGCCTTAATGGCACAGCTCCAACGATAGTGGAGACCATTGGTGAAGAACTAAACAAAGATGAAAGAGGGTAATTATTTTTGTAAACTCCCTCCAGGGCCCGGGGGGCGTGAGCTTCACTCGTGGATCCTCTCCGTACCTTTCTTTTGAACCTATATGGAGGTGGAAACCAGGGATATGCTCACCTGTTAGCCTGCAGGATCCCTCTTAGTTGCAGCTCTTCCCACCTGCCTTATTTTTTTGAGGTGCTGATGAGGACACTCCAGTGGCCAGCAAAGGTCCTAATCCTACAAAGAAAGTTGGCTGACCAGCTTAGCAAACTCCTCTTTGAGATTCTAACCCTCTGTGGGATCAGGACCCCAAGAATTGGAAGGGATGCAGGGCACTCCCTGATCCACAGCTAGATGAGCAGCCTTTTTGCCTAAGCCTCCAGGTGTCAACACCTCACAGGTTGCGGATGTGGAGCAGGATGCCGACTCACTTGCAAGCAAGAGAAGAGGAGCATCAGGGTTTTCTACATCTTAGAAGCTGCCCAGAGTGGCTGGAGCAACCCAGTCCAATGGTTGGGTTATGAATAATATACATCATGATGATGTTGATGGAAAAGGACACCCCTCTTTTAACTGGAGAACTGTTGGGGGGTATGCATGCCTTGCCTAGAAGCCTGGGGGAAACCTCGCTGTGTGGGCCAAGCTGCCCCCCACCCATTGCCTTCGTTCCCCCCAGCTCTGCTTCCCACCCTCCCCATCTCTACCTTGAAGGACAGAGATCAACATGCTAGGCCAGTCCGCTCATGAGGCAAGGGCAGTGCCCACTTCAGGCGGCAGGATCCACAGGGGAATCAGATTCAGCCCCCAAGAAATGCATCTTGGCGACTTGGAGGCATTGCTGATATCCCCCCCCCCCGATCCTAATGTAGATTTCAACTCACCCCTTCTTCCCTGGGTAGCGGCTGGGTGGGGGCTTGAAAGCACCATTTTCTGGTTTGCCCCAGGGGCTCAAATGTCTTGGGCTGGTCCTGTCCACAAGGCTCTCCCTTCCCCCTTTTCCTTCATGGCCCCCATCTTCTTTCTCAATGCCCCTCCAACCCTCCAAGTGTCCCCATCTTCCAGGGACGGTCCTGGATTTACAGAAACTCTCCAAGTTCATCTGACTTGATCTCAGAATGTCCCAGTTTTCCTAAGGACATCCCCATTTCCATGTTGGAGGGTGTGGAGTTATGTGACCCCTGGGCCATCGGAAGGCAGTCCTGTGTAGGGAGGTTCTTTGATGTTTAATGTGTTATGATGTTTTTGTATATATATTTGAGCCACACAGAGTGGCTGGGGCAACCCAGTCAGATGGGTGGAGTATTATTATTATTATTATTATTATTATTATTATTATTATTATTACGACTACTATTACTACTACTACTATTGAACAGAACATCAATATTTTCACGGCAGAACTGTTGCAGGTATGTCTCCTAGCTTTTCCAGCTCTGTTCAATTCCTGTTTGTGAAATATCCTTCTCTGTGCAGCTGCCCAAGGAAGCAGGACAGTTGCAGGGGAGACAGAGAGAAAGGGGCAGGGAGACCCCTGGGAGAGGTGGGGGCCTACAATGTGTGAAATGTCCTTGTGCAAAGCCATGTTTGGAAAAGAACCACAAAGCCTGGATGGCATCACCGAATGTAAGAGAGAGAGAGAGAAAGGGTCTGAGAGCCTGACCAAAAATATCCCCTCAACCCAGCACACGTTTTCACACCACGAACCAACAGAAAGGTTTCCAATGCTTGCATTTATTAAAAAGAGGAAGCTAAAGCATTTTTGCAGGCAAACCAAATCCAAGCTCCAATCCCGAGCCCATTTACTAAGGAGTCAGGACGCACTGGCCGCAGTGGCCTTACTCATGAGTAGACAGGCAGACAGGATGGCTCCCTCTTGACTCCTTCCCAGCATCGCCTTCAGCAGCATCAAGCAAAGCGGTTTCTTCCCCAGCAGAGATGGGGGTGCAGTCGAGGCAGCTGCACATCAGAGGAGAGCAGGGTGGTCTTCCTTTCACCAGAGGTCTTGCACCAGTAAACTGCAGAGTTACCCGCCCCCTGTGAGAAGAGGAAACACTGTTAATATGGGTGTTGGTGGTTGTTCAGAAAACCCAAACCAGTGACTCCAACTGGGAGGCAGAAGAGCTGCTGTTGTCAGAGTTCCAACTGCACACAGAGGGTCTGTTTTGCAGAGGGTTGGACTAGATGACCCCTTGGTGCCTCCAAAAGCTACATTTCAATTCTATGATTGTAAAAGAGACCTCTGAGCATTTCCTGCAGGCACTTTCGGGAATTTGAGCAGGGCATGGATGCCATACACCCTTTCTTTCTAATGAGGTTCTTTTTCACAGGGATGTTTCACACAGGTTGCCTTTGCTATTTGAGGAGGGTCAGTGACTGAGCTCCCACCCTCTCATACCACAAAGAGCTGTTCTTTTAGCCAAGGGAGGCTAAGGGGAGTTGTGGCTGAAAGGGTTGGAGACCTTTCATGGGGGCAGCAAGGGGAGAGGACAGGGATGTCACAACCCCCAGTGTGCACACTAATATTGTTCCCCCTCACAGTGGATGTAAAGATTAAGAGATGGGGGTGGGGAGAGCGATGAGTCTCATGTATGTGGGATCAGGAGACACCTCTGACTTATTTTCCAGACAAACTAAGATTAGATTTAACTCACCTCTACGGCAACACACCACTTGACGAGTACACCGAAATAGGAGCCTTAGGGGCGGGCGGCACCTAAAAAGTTGCAGTATCCCTCCCTGCCTTTGACATCTCGGCCGGCAATTAAATTGGGCTCTGGTGAAATCTGGAGGAAGAAAAAGAAGACTTTGAAGGCTCTGTCTCACAGGACTGTCCTTCCACAACTTCTTCCACAATGGCCCTGCTGGCTTGGACACCCAGAAGGCACCAGGTTGGGGAAAGCTGGTGCAGGAAGAATGCAGGGCTGGAGCGGAGAGCCAGTCCCTTCTGCTGCCTCCCTGCACCTCCAGGACAGGGTCTGAGCCAAGGTGGTAGGGAAGGCTGCGCCAGAGTCACTGGCTTCCCTGGGTGGCCACTGGCAAACTGGGAGAGAGAAGCCCCCTTGCCCAGGAAACCGGCCCGTTCTTTTGTTCACTGCGATGCTGAGTTTACTGAAGTGCATTATTTGAAAGCAAGAGCTTCCGTGGATCACATAAAGGAGGTAATAAGAAGAGACTGGCTGGTGGATCTGGCCAAAGGGGGCCCATTGAGTCCAGCATCCTCTTCTCCCAGGGTCCACCTGAAGCCCCATTTGGGAAACTCTCCAGGAGGACAGAGGGGCAAGATCCCACCTCTTTGGGAGTCACAGCAAGTGGCTGAGAATAAAGCTGAGAGCTGTGGGGCTGCTCAGAAAAGAAGCATGTGAGAAGAAGGCCATACCTGGAGCCAGCAGCATCAAGAAGAGGACGGCAACAGAGAGGAGACAGAAGATCTTCATGGCTGGAGGTTGGTGGGAATCCTGGAGGTACCAGAAGCCAAGTGGAAGAGCAATTGCCAGGGGAAGGAGAGGTCCCTCTACTTATAGGTGACTGGAGGACTGATGAAATCTTGTGGGATGCCAACCGTTGTTTGCAGGATGGATGTGGCAAGCCCTGAGGGGCATACAAGATGGGTGACACCTGGCTTGAGAGCAGTACATTTGAAAAGGATCTAGGAGTCTTGGTTGACCACAAACTTGACATGAGCCAACAGTGTGACGCGGCAGCTAAAAAAGCCAATGCAATTCTGGGCTGCATCAATAGGAGTATAGCATCTAGATCAAGGGAAGTAATAGTGCCACTGTATTCTGCTCTGGTCAGACCTCACCTGGAGTACTGTGTCCAGTTCTGGGCACCACAGTTCAAGAAGGACACTGACAAACTGGAACGTGTCCAGAGGAGGGCAACCAAAATGGTCAAAGGCCTGGAAACGATGCCTTATGAGGAACGGCTAAGGGAGCTGGGCATGTTTAGCCTGGAGAAGAGGAGGTTTAGGGGTGATATGATAGCCATGTTCAAATATATAAAAGGATGTCACATAGAGGAGGGAGAAAGGTTGTTTTCTGCTGCTCCAGAGAAGCGGACACGGAGCAATGGATCCAAACTACAAGAAAGAAGATTCCACCTAAACATTAGGAAGAACTTCCTGACAGTAAGAGCTGTTCGACAGTGGAATTTGCTGCCAAGGAGTGTGGTGGAGTCTCCTTCTTTGGAGGTCTTTAAGCAGAGGCTTGACAACCATATGTCAGGAGTGCTCTGATGGTGTTTCCTGCTTGGCAGGGGGTTGGACTCGATGGCCCTTGTGGTCTCTCCCAACTCTATGATTCTATGATTCTATGTGCCTAGGAGCAGCCAGAGACCAGAGAATCATAGGTTCATCAAGTCCAACCCCATCACAGCTGTTGCATCCCTGACAGGTCCCCATCCGACCTCTGCTTAAATCTTCCTGCAAAGGAGAATAAGGCACCTTCTGAAGGGCACCATTCCACCGTTGAACAACTCAGAAAGTGAATATTTTGGCTTGTGTTTTGCTCTCTGCTCACAGTGGCATGGCATCTTTTGGCTTCCTGCTTGGCAGGGGGTTGGACTCGATGGCCCTTGTGGTCTCTTCCAACTCTATGATTCTATGATTTCCCCTGGGGGTGGGTGCTCTGCAGGTGGGACCATGGCCTGGGTGCAGAGGGTGAACAAAACCCTTCCCACTAGCCCAACTCTAGACTCCATCATTGCTGGGCAGGCATGGGGCAGCGAGGGTTCACAGGGCCGTGCTGTGCTCCCTCCTCATCTGCACACACCAAGGGGGGAGCCTGCCTGGCCATGGCTGCTCCTGGTAGGCGCACCCCCCGAAACACTGGCTGGGCAGCCATTTAGCGTGGGGCCAGAGTCCTGGCAGCAAGCCTCCCCCCCCCATTTTTGCATGCTATTATGACCCATATGGATACATATTACACCACTTTTGGTGCACATTACTTGAATGAACTGCCTTGTGGAATTCATGGAAGGAGAACACTTGGAAGGACAGCTCTGTTCCAAATCATGCATAGTTGTGGAAAGTACATGCAGCTGAGGTACAAAACGTTTTTGGGGGGAAATAGTCCAGCTCTGATGGAGATGTTCTCATGCAGTCCATGCCCAAGAGCCAGGTAATCTCCCAACACCACACCTGCTTGGGGGCCCAGCTGGAAGCTCCTTTGGCCTCACCCAGCTGCAGGGCTCTTCTCAGGCTCAGTCCTGAGAATCTTATGGAAACATTTCCGCTTGGGCTTGCTCACCACCCTCTCCAACTCAACAGGTTGTCCCCAACTTCACAAACTGAGTTCTGCATCCTCTCCTCTCCCTAGGCACCACCAAAATCTGGAGGATGTTATCCCACAATGCCCAATACCTTGGAATAGATTTTGAGGATGCAATGGGGTGGGGTCTGCAGGGGAGGAGAGCTGGGATTACCACCCACAACTGGAGATCTGTGGCCTTGGATACAACCCCATCAGTGCCGCACCAAACTATTCTGTTGCCCTTCCATGCTCTTGAGCATTCTCCAGATGCATCTTTCCAAGGGAAAGGCAGCCTTAATCTTGTCTTTTCCTGGACAGTCTTTTAGTACTGCCCTGCTGTCTATTTGTGAGTGTGAGTTTGTGTGTTGTGCTGCTTTTATGGTATTTGTGTTGCTTGCTTGATGCTTCATTTTAATATTGCTGGGTTACACTGGTTTGAGCTTCTGTGCATTGTAGTGAATATATGGGGGGAACTAGTAGGTCAGGGCAATTCTTTTATATTTGAATTTGGAGATGGGGGAGAAGTATCAGTGCCAGTCATGAGCTGTTGGTGTGGGCTGTGCCTGTAACATTTAGCAGGCAGTTGCTGGTCTTTTGCAATCTCCACAGAGATGGGCCCCAGGAGATGTCTTCAGCATCCTTTCCCAAGAGCCTGAAGTGCCAACCCAACACTTAAGGTGGGGAATCTGTGGTCACAGGGCTAAGTCCCGTTTCCCCACCTGGTCTTGCTTCAAGTTAACGGACAAGCGTTGCTCCATCAGATGCCCACAGGCAGCAAAGTTGGGTGAAGCAAATGCCAGATGCAGCACAGTGAAATTGGGAATTAGCCCAGATCAGAAGGCGATATCAGGGGTGGGGTGTTGGGAATGGGGAGCAGCAATGCCAAAGACATCCCTTTCCATGGAAACAGATTCAGGGATGGAGCTGGAGAAAATGGGCAAATAACACATGTGAGGATTCCTTGAAAATATTGTTACACTGCACCCAAATTGCTGAGCATGGAGAAAAACCAGGGGTTTCAGTGTTTGCCCGGAGTTTGGTTTCCTTGAAGGTGAGGGGAGATATAGTTGTTTTTTTTTGACCATATAGAGAGAGCCTGAGCATAAAATGGATGGGTTCACAGCATTAACACCCCCCAAATCATCGTTCTCAGTTCCTCACAGCTTTGGATGCCCTGCACAGCAAACAGGAATCTGTGTCTCCAGCTTCCAGGCTGCTTCCAACTCAGCTCTCACACTCCACATGGGCTCAGGACCACAATATCTAAAGGATGGCCTCTCCCCATATGAACTGACCTTGACCTAGAGATCATCATCAGAAGCCCTTCTTCACGTGCCTCCTTCGCAAGAGGTCAAGAGGGCTGCACTATGAAACGAGGTCTTTTCTGTGGTGGCTCCCTGTTTGTGGATTGCTTTTCCCTGGGAAGCACACTGTGCTCCTTTAGGTGCCAGGCAAATACATTCCTTTTCTTCCAGCCTTAGAATAATGAAAAAAAATCTCTGGTGTTTTACACTATGTGTGGGTGTTACTGTTTGCTTTCTTAATATGGTATGTATATTGATGTTTTTGTATTTTAAACAGCGCTGTGGTCCTCAGAAGAAGGGTTGTATAGAAATCTAATTGACGGCTTCCGGTTTCCGGTTGCCTTAATGGCACAGCTCCAACGATAGTGGAGACCATTGGTGAAGAACTAAACAAAGATGAAAGAGGGTAATTATTTTTGTAAACTCCCTCCAGGGCCCGGGGGGCGTGAGCTTCACTCGTGGATCCTCTCCGTACCTTTCTTTTGAACCTATATGGAGGTGGAAACCAGGGATATGCTCACCTGTTAGCCTGCAGGATCCCTCTTAGTTGCAGCTCTTCCCACCTGCCTTATTTTTTTGAGGTGCTGATGAGGACACTCCAGTGGCCAGCAAAGGTCCTAATCCGTACAAAGAAAGTTGGCTGACCAGCTTAGCAAACTCCTCTTTGAGATTCTAACCCTCTGTGGGATCAGGACCCCAAGAATTGGAAGGGATGCAGGGCACTGCCTGATCCACAGCTAGATGAGCAGCCTTTTTGCCTAAGCCTCCAGGTGTCAACACCTCACAGGTTGCGGATGTGGAGCAGGATGCCAACTCACTTGCAAGCAAAAGGAGAGGAGAGGGGAGGTGGCATCAGGGTTGGATTGGGGGCAGAGGTCCAGGGCTCCACTTAGCAAAAAGAGGAGGAACCCCAGATCCAGGAGGGCTGGCTGAAACACATTTTGAGGGGCTCACTTGCCTTTTCCCCTCTGCTTGCTTCTTATCTGAAGCACCAATTGCTTCTGTGTGCAGACTTTAAAATATTTTCCAGCTGTGGACATTTCCTGGCTCAGGAGCTAACAGAGGCATTTATTGCTAGTTGCCATAGTCCAATTCCCACTTCCTTTTGGTCAGCATCCTAAACTCCACTGTGAGCAATCCAGAAAAAGCATTGGCATGCAGGGGATATTGGAATTGAGCCCATGGTGGTATGATGGGATGGAAGCAGTGAGGGAGGGGGAGGAGAGCATCACCTGAACCAAACCTGGTGGCTTAGGTGAGTGTCACTCAGATGATGGGGAGGAAGAGCCCACCTGAGGGGTCTCACCTGTCTTGGGTGAAAATGAGGCTTTGAACATCCATCAGCACCCCCTCCCTTAAGAAGACAAGGATGAGGAGCCTGGAGTTCTGCAGATAATGTTGAGGACTAACAATGGTGACTGTGTTTTTTTGTTTGTATGTGTGACACATCGGATAGTAGAGTCTGACCCCCCAAACCCCCCTCCCCACACACGTTTTCACAACATGGACCTACTGAGATTTTTCCAATGTTTGCATTTATAACTCACCTTAACGGCAACATATTAGGCCATTTGAATCCCAAAAAAATTTCCCGCAAGACGTTGACATCTCCAATTATCTCATTAGGCTCTGGTGAAATCTGCTTCTTCTTTCTCCACCTCCTCCCCACTTTCTCTGCCCTGGTCAAGTCCTGCTTAAAATAACCCGTCCCTCTCTGCGCAACTGATCAAGGAAGTGCGGCAGTTGGAGAGGTGATATGGAGAAAAAGGCACAAGGAGAAGAGGTGGGTGGGCCCACAATTTGAGAAATGCTCTTGTGCAAAGCCATGTTTGCAAAGACAACCACAAAACCGGGATGGCACGACTGACTGTCCTCGAAGAAGGCATTTTCTGAAATCCATTCAGCCAGCAATAAAGATAAGGCAGGAGATACAGGTCCTTGGGGCAGAAGACTGCCCTTGGCTACCAGCCAGGATGGCTACTTTCTCCCTCCCCTGATGGAGACAAGAGGCCTCTGAACATCATTGGCCCAGAATCACAAGTGGGGAGAGTGGTGTTCACTCAGGTCCTCTTGCAGGCTACCAATGGCCATGGATCACATGGGATTCCCAGCAACTGGCATTAAGAAGCATTGTGGACTCTCACTGCAGAGGCAGAGGATCTCCCTCATGGCCAGCAGCTCCTGGTCTTCATTTCAAGCCATCCTAGTCAGTGGTCATCCCTGCTCCCTGGGCGAGGCAGTTCCATAGTTTCACTATAAGCTGCACGAAAAAAAGTCCTTGGTTTTATCTCTCCTGAATCTCCCGACACTCAGCTTCCTGCCATGTCTCCATTACACTCCTATTTAAATCCAATTTACCTCCCATTAGGAACCCCCTGAATCTCTTCCACCTTTTCCCCACACGCAACCTGCCCCACTGATCTTGCTGCTTGGTAGTCTTGGCATTCTGGAGGGCAGAGTGTCAGCATCCGACAAAATACTCCCAGGGCAAAGGGTTTCTCTGGAGCCATTCACGTCAAGGGATGTTTTGCCCTGGAGTTCAAGGTGAGCTGCAGCAATTCCATTCTCGTTCTGGGTTCCCTGCTGGCAATCTTGATGGAAAAGGCCATCAGGCGGGAGCTGAAGTCAAGGTGAGCTTGAGGATCTGAACGGTGGTGGCTCCCCTTTGTTGCAAGTTCTTAGAGGGAGAGATGATGCTGTCAACAGCCATTGGAGCTCCTGCCAGAAAGAACGTGGAAACCAAACAGCTGGCGCATCACTCTTTTTTAGACCTGTTCCCCTCCAGATGTTTTGGAAGTCGGAAGATGGGAGATCTGGACACAGGTCACAACTGACCCCTGGGTCAAACACAGTCTTCACAAACCTGGTGCTCTCCAGATGTTTGGGGCTACAATTCCCATCGCCCCCAGCCTGCAAGACCATGTGAGGCCAAAGATGAGAGGAGATTTTGCATTCATATGCTACTTGCCTGTAAAAAGATCCAGAGTAGTTTACAAAAGAGCGTGAGAATATCTGTGGGGCAGTTTGGGGCAGCCACACCCAGGGGTTTGGTCATGGATAAATCCACAGGCATAGCTATGATTTTATCCAGAATCTTGAGATGTCTCCCCTTCCACTTTTTGCTCTATTTTGGGGGCTGACCATTCCTTGCTGTTCCCTCCCCACTTTACTCGAGGGGCAGCTAGTGTAGGGACTGTCAGATATTTGTGGACTGCATCTCCCATTACTCCTGGCTGGTGGCCCTTCTGGCTTGTGCGGGAGGGAGCTGGAGGTCCCCCTCAACACTGGGAAGTCCCCACATTGGCTCCCAGGAACAGGAGGAAGGGGACAAAAGAGAGATATTTTATATATAATTTTGGAGATGGGGAGAAGTATCAGTGCCAGTCATGAGCAGTTGGTGTGGGCTGTGCCTGTAACATTTAGCAGGCAGTTGCTGGTCTTTTGCAATCTCCACAGAGATGGGCCCCAGGAGATGTCTTCAGCATCCTTTCCCAAGACCCTGAAGTTCAAACCCAGCAGGCAAGGTGGGGAACCTGTGGTCACAGGGCTAAGTCCCATTTCCCCACCTGGTCTTGCTTCAAGTTAACGAACAAGCGTTGCTCCATCGGATGCCCACAGGCAGCAAAGTTGGGTGAAGCAACTGCCAGATGCAGCCCAGGGAAATTTGGAATTAGCCCAGATCAAATCAAATCAAAACTTTATTAGCAAAGCCAACAGGCCACAGCTGTACAAGAGTTAAAAGTGAAAATAGGGATAAAAGGAAGAAAAGAACAGGCAAAAGGAGGTCCGTCGGGTGAACAGGTCTGTCACTCAGATGGTGGCCCTCAATTTCGCAGCTCTCTCGATGTACCTCGCGACCTTCTCTGTTATCTGACTATCCGTATCAGATAATAGAAAATACAGTGTAATGTCTGGTGAACGGCCGGGGTTGGAGAGAATGAGTGGGAAGCTATACACCACACCTCCTCAACAGTATTTATAGGAACTCAAACACTGAGATCCTGCTCTGTTCCAGTAACAAGAAGCCGAAAGCACCAGCCTGAAGATGACGAGTGAGACCTCGTCGAAACGTCGCCTAGACACCCCAACTTTTACACGGGAAGACACCCGAGGACACCAAAACCTGCATATATATATATATATATATATATATATATATATATATATATAAATTTGTTTTGCTACATCAGACATTAAAACAAACAAAAAAACATACATCACACATACACTCAAAAAAGAAATACATAAAAAAAGAATAATAATAATAAAGAAAACAAAAGAAAAAACATCTCCTAACATAAGATACCAACAAATTAGGTTACATTTACTAAATAACACACAACACTAATTGACTTCCCTTCATCTCGATTTCAGAATATATTATATGATTTTTTATCTGCAGTTTCTTTTCCTTAAGAAACTCTTTACATCACAAATGTTACGTCATACCTACTGTAATTTTTAGATTTTTTACCTCTGTTTGCATGTATGTCATAAATTTATTCCATTCTTTGTTAAACTTTATGTCTTTTTGATTTCTTATTTTCTGTGTCATTTTTGCCAATTCTAAATAATCAATTAGTTTGGATTGCCACTCGTTTATAGTTGGGATTTTTGATGTCTTCCAATTCTGCGCTATTAGAGTTCTAGCAGCCACTGTCGCGTACTGAAAGAGTGTTGATCTTCCTTTTTGATTTCCTCTCCAATTATCCCCAGCAAAAAAGCTTCGGGTTTTTTTTTTATAAAGGTATATTTAAAGATTTTTTTTAGTTCATTGTAAATAGATTCCCAGAATTTTTTGATAGGCTCACACAACCACCACATGTGATAAAAATCACCCTCCTTGATCTTACACTTCCAACATAATTTATCACCAGTTTTATATATTTTTTTCCAATTTTACGGGCGTTACGTACCACCTGTACATCATTTTATACATATTTTCCCTGAGTGTTGTGCATGCTGAGAATCTCATACCTTTGTTCCATAATGCCTTCCATTTGTCAAACTCTATATTATGTCCGAAGTCCATTGCCCATCTCACCATTACCTCCTTCAGGTTGAGAATTCCTGGTGTGTTGGAGTGGGAAGTGGGGAAACCTCCTAGCATCTCCACCTGCCATCATGTCCCAACGGTCCTCACTGGCTTTTATTCATCTGCTTGCTCCTTAACTGAAGCAAGGACTCCTTCTGAGTACAGCCATTTAAATGTTTTGTATCAATGGGTTTTTTCTAGCTCTGGGGTTAATGGCCCTAATGGTGCTATACATTGCTGGCTGCCATTGTGCAGTGCCAAAGGACAACTCCGTTTGGGTTTCTCTTCAGGCTTGGCATGAAAGTGGGGGCACCACTCCCTTGACTTTTTTCCTCCCCCAAGAGCACATTTGGGTTGTACCTTTCTTAGCTCTGATTCTATTCTGGGCTACTCATGCTGTGACTCCTCTGTTTATTACTTGTCTGGGAAGGTGAAAGGCAGAGATTGGATGGCTCAAAGGACCCGTCAGGAGGAGCTGAGAAGCAAGACATTGAGGGCAAAACTCCACGTGGAAGAAGCTCTGCAGAGACTTTCTAAATCAATGCAGGATGAATGTGGGTTGGTGTGAGAGGGGGTGGACTTCAAAATCACACCCTTCTCAGGTGTCTGTGGGTCAGGTGTCACCCACTTCCTTTTAGGCAATGCCCTAAACAGATATTTATACTCCACTGTGTGCAATCCACTAGGATTGGCTTGTAGAGGATATTGGAACTGAGCCCATGGTGATATGATGGGATGGAAGCAGGGAGGGAGAGGGAGGAGAGCATCACCTGAACTAAACCTGGCGACTGTCACTCAGATGATGGGAAGAAAGAGCTCACCTTAGGGGCCTCACCTGTCCAGGGTGGTAATGCATTGCAGGGGTTGGACTAGATGACTCTTGGGGTACCTTCCAAAGCTGAAACTCTATAAGTCTATGATTCTGTGGTCTTTGGCTGGTCCTTGGCACATGAAACTCAGAGCTTGCCACATCCATCCTGCAAACAACGGTTGGCATCCCACAAGGTTTCATCAGTCCTCCAGTCACCTATAAGTAGAGGGACCTCTTCTTCCCCTGGCAATTGCTCTTCCACTTGGCTTCTGGTACCTCCAGAATTCCCACCATCCTCCAACCATGAAGATCTTCTGCCTCCTCTCTGTTGCTGTCCTCTTCTTGATGCTGCTGGCTCCAGGTATGGCCTTATTCTCACATGCATTTTCTCTGAGCAGCTCCACACCTCTCAGCTTTATTCCTTTTAAACCTGACTCTGAGCACCACTTGCTGTGACTCCCAAAGAGGTGGGATCTTGCTCCTCTGTCCTTGTGGAGAGTTTCCCAAATGGGGCTTCTGGTTGGACACTGTGAGACGAGGATGCTGGACTCGATGGGCCCCTTTGACAAGATCCACCAGTCAGTCTCTTCTTATTACCTCATTTATGTGATCCACGGAAGCTCTTGCTTTCAAATCTTTAATAATGCACTTCAGTAAACTCAGCTTTGCGGTGGGTAAAAGAACGGGCCGGTTTCCTGGGCAAGGGGGCTTCTCTCTCCCAGTTTGCCAGAGGCTGCCCAGGGAAGCCAGTGACTCTGACGCAGCCTTCCCAGCCACCTTGGCTCAGACCCTGTCCTGGAGGTGCAAGGAGGCAACAGAAGGGCCATTGTGGAAGAAGTTGTAGAAGGTGCGTCCTGCAAGAGAGAGCCTTCAAAGTCTTCTTTTTCCTCCTGCAGATTTCACCAGAGCCCAAGCTCAATGTCCTAATCGGAGATGTCAACAGCTCGGAGGGAGATGCGTAAGACGGTGCCCTAGGCCAATTGCTCGCTGTACAGGAGGCCGAGTGTGTTGCCGTCGCAGTGAGTTAAATCAAATCTTAGCTGTTCCTCCGAAATTAGTCAATGGTGTCTCATGACCCCAAATGTCCCCAGGAAATGCAGCAGCGGCAGTCTCAGCAGCCCGGAGCAGTTGGCTCTGGCTGGCTTCAGGAGCTGCTCGGAAGTCCCCATGTGATGGTGGTGCAGGGGCTCTAAGATGTAGCTTCTGGCCTGCCTCCACCTTCCCTGAGCCCAGCAACTAAGCTGTGAAGGGAGGCTTCATGTTGCCTATCGGAGCAGCCTCCCAACTCCTACTTGCGTGCAAGCAGGAGCGGGGATCTCTCCAGGGACGCGGACTTATAAAAAATATTGGGGGGGCCCGGGAAAGCTCATGAATAATAAATAAGCTCATGAATATGCAAATAAAGTGGCTCCAGCCCTAAATAGGGCAAGCCACGCCCCCCAGCCAGCCAATCGGCTGGCTGGGAGGTGTGGCCAGTCGGGATTCCCCTGTTCTCGCGGGGGCCAGGAGGAAGGAAATTCCCCCGGCAGTGCCTTGGCAGTGGCGGTGGTGCTGCGAAGCAGCGAGGCAGGAGCCCCCGCCCCCGGGGATTCCCTAATCTCGCGGGGGACGGCCGGGGCTCTCCGACTAGGGCGCGCGGCTGGCTGGCTGGCTGGCGAGGGAGCAGGTGGGGAGGAGGCGGGGGACGGCGGCGGCGCTCTGCTGGAAGGGCGCCCGAGATTATTGGGGGGGCTGAGCCCCCCCCAAAATTTTTTTGAGGGGGCTCGAGCCCCCTCAGGCCCCATGGAGTCGGCGCCTATGGATCTCTCAGCTGTGAAGGAGGCTTCAAGCTGCCTATCAGATCTTGCGTGCAAGCAGGAGGGGGCAGGGATCTGTCAGTTAGGCAATGAGAAGCCTCCCTTCCCAGCCGAGGGATCCCTGCCTTCTCCTGCTTGCAATGCAGGTAGGAATGGGATTGGGGCGGCTCCGATGGGAAGGGAGGCATTGCGCTGCCCAAGCCTCGCTGCTGCTCTCTGCCCTCCTTCTCTGCCTTCCATGCCTGACCCACCACGCACCACTTCCCCATGACCACCAGCACTAAACAAACAACAGCTATGGGGCTGCCCAGGCTCATGGAGAAAGGAGATAGAAGCCTCGGAGTCTGGTAGATAGAAAAAGACCACTTTTATTTTGTGTGTTTTGGTTACTAGCTGATGTACTATTTCTCTTTTTTTCTTTGGTGGTGATGGAAATTTATTTTCTTTTTCTGTATGGTTTGTTAATATGAATGGTAACAATACAATTTAATAAAGGGGGGTGGAGAGAAACCTTGGAGGAAGGGGAAACATGGCGGTTGAGGTCAAGGTGGTGGCCACCTCTCTGCCACCGCCATCGCTGCAGCATCAACGTCCCAAACGTGTAGTATTTATCCCCGGATTCATTGAAAAAAATATGGTAACCTTACCTTAGCCTGGGAAAGAATGCCTCCATTGGCTCAAAGAACAGCTTTTCGTGGTTTGAGAGGGTGGGGGCTCAGTCGCTGACCCTCCTCAAATAGCAAAGGCAACCTGTGTGAAACATCCCTGTGAAGGTGATTATTGAATCACAGAATTGTAGAGTTGGAAGGGAAGGAGTTAAATGCACAACAACACACACTCACAAGGATCCACTCACAAGGATCTGCTCAAATGTGTCCTCTCCTGGGGTTGTTATTCGTAAAAAGAAGAAGGAATAAGAACCACATTAGAAAAAAAGTGCCTGTATGGCAGCCAAGCCCCACTCAAATTCCCCCAAGTGCATCTATGAAATGCCCAGATGTCTCTCTTACAATCATAGAATAGAAATGCAGTGTTGGGAGGCACCAAGGGGTCATCTAGTCCAACCATCTGCGAAACAGAACCTCTGAGTCAGTGTGGTGTAGTGGTTAAGAGCAGTGGACTCGTAATCTGGTGAACAGGGTTCAATTCCCTGCTCCTCCACATGCAGCTGCTGGGTGACCTTGGGCCAGTCACACTTCTTTGAAGTCTCTCAGCCCCACTCACCTCACAGAGTGTTTGTTGTGGGGGAGGAAGGGAAAGGAGAACGTTAGCCGCTTTGAGACTTCTTTCGGTAGTGATATCAAATCCAAACTCCTCCTCCTCCTCCTCCTCCTCCTCCTCTTCTTCTTCTTCTTCTTTTTCTTTTTCTTTGTGCAATTTGAACTCTGACAACAGGAGCTCTTCTGCCTCCCAGTTGGAGTCACTGGTTGTTATGTACTGAGTTGAATAGGATCCAAAAGGCAGCAGTCTGATTGGTCCTAGAACAATAGGATTCAGAATGCAGCAGTCTGATTGGTCCGCAGGAGCCACCCAATCCAACTCCAGGTGGAAGTGAATCCGCAACCTGATTGGCCTACAGGTGAATCCCGGAATTAGCCAATCACGTGGGGCCCATTGTGTAAATAATTCAGACATTGTGGGGGAACTTCCATTCCTCCTCACCACTATGAGTTGAATAAAGAACATGAAATTCACTATCAACTCTGAGTATATTTCACTCGTCTAGGTTTTCAGAACCACCACCAACACCACCAACACCAACAGGATACTAACTCGGCAGATCTCCAGTAGAGGACCTCTGGTGAAAGGAAGACCACCCTGCTCTCCTCTGATGTGCAGCTGCCTCGACTGCACCCCCATCTCTGCTGGGGAAGAAACCGCTTTGCTTGATGCTGCTGAAGGCGATGCTGGGAAGGAGTCAAGAGGGAGCCATCCTGTCTGCCTGTCTACTCATGAGTAAGCCCACTGTGGCCAGTGGGTCCTGACTCCTTAGTAAATGGGCTCAGGATTGGAGCCTGGATTTGGTTTGCCTGCAAAAATGCTTTAGCTTCTTCTTTTTAATAAATGCAAGCATTGGAAAACTTTGTGTTGGTTCATGTTGTGAAAATGTGTGCTTGGATGAGGGGATATTTTTGGTCAGACTCTGAGACCCTTTCTCTCTCTCTCTCTCTCTCTCTCTCTCTCTCTCTGCCAGTCAGTGGTGCCATCCAGGTTTTGTGGTTGCTTTTCCAAACATGGCTTTGCACAAGGGCATTTCTCAAATTGTAGGCCCCCACCTCTCCCTGGGGTCTCCCTGCCCCTCCTCCTGCCCCTTTCTCTGTCTCTCCCCTCCAACTGACTTGCTTCCTTGGGCACCTGCACAGAGAAGGATGTTTCAGAAACAGGAATTTAGCAGAGATGCAATACCCTAGGGGACATACCCTGCAACATTTCTGCCATGAAAATAGGGATGTTCTATTCAATAGGAATGGTGGGACGCGGGTGGCGCTGTGGGTAAAACCTCAGCACCTAGGACTTGCCATTCAGAAGGTCAGCGGTTTGAATCCCCACGGCGGGGTGAGCTCCCATCGTTCGGTCCCAGCTCCTGCCCACCTAGCAGTTTGAAAGCACCCTTAAGTGCAAGTAGATAAATAGGTACCGCTTTATAGCGGGAAGGTAAACGGCGTTTCCGTGTGCTGCGCTGGTGCTGGCTCGCCAGAGCAGCTTTGTCATGCTGGCCACGTGACCCAGAAGTGTCTCTGGACAGCGCTGGCCCCCGGCCTCTTAAGTGAGATGGGTGCACAACCCTAGAGTCGGACACGACTGGCCCGTATGAGCAGGGGTACCTTTACCTTTATTCAATAGGAATAGGAATAGTAAATAATAATCATAATACCCAACCTATTTGACTGGGTACACCAGCCACTCTGGGTGGCTCAGAAATATATATAAAAACATCACAACATGTTAAACATTTAAAAAACATCCGTATACAGGACTGCCTCCCGATGACTCAGGAGTTGAAGAACTCTAAGATTTCTCTGATGGAAATGGGGATGTCCTTAGGAAAACTGGGACATTCTGAGATCAAGTCAGATCAACTGGGAGAGCTTCTGTAAGTCCAGGACTGTCCCTGGAAGATGGGGACACTTGGAGGGTTGGAGGGGCATGGAGGAAAAAGAAGGGGGTGATGAAGGAGAAGGGGGAATGGAGAGCGTTGGGGACAGGACCAGCCCAAGACATTTGAGCCCCTGAGGCAAACCACAAAATGGTGCTTTCCAGCCCCCACCCAGCCCCTACCCAGGAAAGAAGGGGTGAGATGAAATCTACATTAGGATTAAGGGGGGTGATATCAGCAACGCCTCTGAGTCACCAAGATGCATTTCCTGGGGGCTGAATCTGATGCCCCTGTGGATCCTTGAATCATAGAATCATAGAGTTGGAAGAGACCACAAGGGCCATCGAGTCCAACCCCCTGCCAAGCAGGAAACACCATCAGAGCACTCCTGACATATGGTTGTCAAGCCTCTGCTTAAAGACCTCCAAAGTAGGAGACTCCACCACACTCCTTGGCAGCAAATTCCACTGTCGAACAGCTCTTACTGTCAGGAAGTTCTTCCTAATGTTTAGGTGGAATCTTCTTTCTTGTAGTTTGGATCCATTGCTCCGTGTCCGCTTCTCTGGAGCAGCAGAAAACAACCTTTCTCCCTCCTCTATGTGACATCCTTTTATATATTTGAACATGGCTATCATATCACCCCTTAACCTCCTCTTCTCCAGGCTAAACATACCCAGCTCCCTTAGCCGTTCCTCATAAGGCATCGTTTCCAGGCCTTTGGCCATTTTGGTTGCCCTCCTCTGGACATGTTCCAGTTTGTCAGTGTCCTTCTTGAATTGTGGTGCCCAGAACTGGACACAGTACTCCAGGTGAGTACTGTGCCACACTGCCCCTTGGCTCATGAGTGGACCGTCCCAGCATGTTGATCTCTGTCCTTCATGGCAGGGAAGGAAGAGATGGGGAGGAAGGGACACAGAGCTTTGAAGAAGGAAGGCGATGAGTGGGGGGCAGCTTGGCCCACACAGCGAGGTTTCCCCCAGGCTTCTAGGCAAGGCATGCATACCCCCCAACAGTTCTCCAGTGAAAAGAGGGTGCCCTGTTCCTTCATCACCATCATGATGTTATTACTTATAACCAGGGGTCAGCAAACTTACCACGCCTCGGGGAGGTGTCTCCAGCACCGATCGCCGACGGACCAGAGGGCGGGGGAGCGCGTGCCCATACACGTACGCACACACTATTTCCAGAAATACTTTTGCAAAAGGTAAAGAATACTTTTGCAAAAGCTAAGAAAGGAAGAAAAAATAAATGGAATTGTAATTGGGGAAAAAAATCCTATAAAGTTAGAGCATTTGTGGACCATTTAATAATAACAACACAAGACCCAAAAAAGAAAGCATCCCAGCGGCGTTGGAATTAATTAATACATATGAAAAATTGGCGGGCCTAAAGGTAAATTATTAAAAAAACTAAGCTACTAACTAAAAATCTAAATACAGAAGAGAATAAAGAACTCCAACAGTTGACGAGTTTAGAGATCATGAACAAGGTAAAATACTTAGGGATCTGGGTATCAACAAAGGGTATTAACCTATACGAAGATAATTATGTCAAAGTATGGAAGGAGGTAAAGAAAAATATGGAAACTTGGACCAAGCTACACCTCTCTCTATGGCGTAGAATCTCGGTGGTTAAGATGAACATACTCCCCAAAATGAGATTTTTATTTCAAACAGTACCAATATTAGGGATGTGGGTGGCACTGTGGATTAAACCAGAGAGCCTAGGACTTGCCGATCAGAAGGTTGGCGGTTCAAATCCCCGCGATGGGTTGAGCTCCCGTTGCTCGGTCCCTGCTGCTGCCAACCTAGCAGTTCGAAAGCACGTCAAAGTGCAAGTAGATAAATTGGTACCGCTCCGGTGGGAAGGTAAACGGCATTTCCGTGCGCTGCTCTGGTTCGCCAGAAGTGGCTTAGTCATGCTGGTCACATGACCCGGAAGCTGTACGCCGGCTCCCTCAGCCAATAAAGCGAGATGAGTGCCGCAACCCCAGAGTCGGCCATGACTGGACCTAATGGTCAGGGGTCCCTTTACCTTTATACCGATATTGGGGGGGGGTGAAATGTTTTCAAGAGCGGAAGAACGATATGGCGAAATTTATATGGAAGGGGGGGGGGGAACCGAGACTAAAATAAAAAGAGAGAGGAGGCTTCACACTTCCTGATTTAGAGTTATACCATGCAGCTGCAGGATTAGCAATGACAAACCTAGACAGCATCTTAAAAAGCAGAGACATCTAAAATCCTAAAATACCTAACAAAAAGGCTTCTGGTGTTTTCTTTACAAAAGATATTTTCAACATTTTCTTCAATTCAGATGTGGTTTAGTCCTGCTGGCCACATGTCCCGGAAAGCCGTCTGTGGACAAACACCAGCTCCCTTGGCCTGGAAGCGAGATGAGCACCACACCCCATAGTCACCTTTGACTGGACTTAACCATCCAGGGGTCCTTTGTTGTTGTTTAGTTGTGTCCAACTCTTCATGACCCCCTGGACCAGAGCACGCCAGGCACTCTGTCTTCCACTGCCTCCCGCAGTTTGGTCAAACTCATGTTGGTAGCTTCAAGAACACTGTACCACCTGTCGTCCCCTTCTCCTTGTGCCCTCCATCTTTCCCAACATCAGGGTCTTTTCCAGGGAGTCTTCTCTTCTCACGAGGTGGCCAAAGTCTTGGAGCCTCAGCTTCAGGATCTGTCCTTCCAGTGAGCACTCAGGGCTGATTTCCTTCAGAATGGAGAGGTTGGATCTTCTTGCAGTCCATGGGACTCTCAAGAGTCTCCTCCAGCACCAGAATTCAAAAGCGTCCATTCTTCAGCGATCAGCCTTCTTGATGGTCCAGCTATTTTTATTGTGTGGTCAGGGGCCACCCAGGCGCTCTTGCCTGGGAAAGAGAGGCAGAGAGAGGTTCAACTGACCGGAACCATCTCCAAACAAGCCCCGCTGAGCGGCAGCAGAACCCCCAAAGTTATGGGTCAGGAGATCCCCTGGTGTTATCCAAGCCATGGCTGCGTTTGTACTGTTCCAGCATTGCATTACCTCTTTTGATCAGGACGGGGAGAGACCCCCAGCACCAGAATTCAAAAGCATCCATTCTTTGGCAATCAGCCTTCTTGATGGTCCAGCTCTCACTTCCATACATCACTACTGGGAAAACCATAGCTTTAACTATACGGACCTTTGTGGGCAAGGTGATATCTCTGCTTTTTAAGATGCTGTCTAGGTTTGTCATTGCTTTTCTCCCAAGAAGCAGGCACCTTTTAATTTTGTGACTGCTGTCACCATCTGCAGTGATCATAGAGCCCAAGGAAAAAAAATCTCTCACTGCCTCCATTTCTTTCCCTCCTATTTGCCAGGAGGTGATGGGACTAGTGGCCAAGATCTTCATTTTTTTGATGTTGAGCTTCAGACCATATTTTGCGCTCTCCTCTTTCACCCTCATTAAAAGGTTCTTTAATTCCTCCTCACTTTCAGCCATCAAGGTTGTGTCATCTGCACCACTGTATAGGATTCAACAATATAGACTAGCTGGGCTAAGTAAAACCCATTGGAAATACCCTGCTCTGCATTCCGTTTCCCACATTTCTCAGGATACAGAACACACACCCCATTAAGTGCTAACGGCCTCCGCAAGAACCACAAAACGTCCGCGAAGAGTGTTTTCTTTTATCCCTGCTGCAAAAGAAACGTGATGCCAACCCTGCCTTGCAGGAGTTGAGCCACCAGAGGTCGCATCTCTCCATACCTGTCCCTCTCCGCATGGTCCACTTCTTCCAAGAAACTTTTCAGAGACTCCCAGCAACTGGAACCTTTTTCAGAGCAACAACAACAATCCAGCCCTTGGAGCTGCTTCTGACTTTCCCCTTTCTATGCCTGCCCCCTTCCCACTCCCCTCGGCTTCCCCAGGAGTGGCGAAGGCTAGCTGGAAAGCTGCCTGGGTCCTTCACTTTGACTGGAGAAAGGCTGGATGCAGAGTTTTGAGACAGCCACAGCT